AAGTCGAAGAGTCTGATGATGCTATTCTTTACCAAACAAAATCTGACAATTTTTGTCATTTTCTGCTGTTCGAATAACCGGTTTGTTTAAACTTAGGCATGACAAAACTTGCTGACTTGAACACAGCCACATTAGGAGGTAGCAAACGAAGACTTGTCAAATGTGCCCGAGAGCAGATACCCAAATGGTAGGTGGAGCAAACAGATAAAGGTGGTCATGGCAACCTACCACTCAACGTACTTTGATCTGACTTTCAGAATAACCGCTTAAGCTGCCCTGTTCCGACTGAATGAACCTAACATGAACAGTAACGTCTGTAGGTGGTGGCATAAGGTAAGATAGACGAAGTTTCCCTTAATGCTGTGAATGGGCCTCATGATACCATTAAATTTCACTTAGCCCTGACTTCTAAAAGACCAAGAGAATTACACTGGCGTTGTTAGGCCAACTCATCTTAGTATGGGAAACACTTGGGGTGCCGACGTTATTTTCGAAAATGACTGCTAGTTTTGAAGTATATTCACACCTAAGATATATGAGTTAATTTTGTTGGCATGGCGCCAAGCCCAGCCTGAAAGCGCCATGGTTCGATTCTGGATCTGCTTGGTCCAATTGATCTTGAACTGCTCCTCTTCTTCGGCTCGCTCTACACCGCTGATGTACTGGGCTGTACTAAGCCGATGGGTAGACCTGAAATGCATACAGAAACATTGCATCATATTTCTTGGCTTGGGTCTCAGGCGAAGATACGCTTCGGGAGGCTTTATGCCGTAGTATGATTTGGCATAAACCGGGCATAGTTGATTTCTGTATTGTGATTCATCATAAAGGAGGCAGACATCTGGCTCATCCAGAACGGGAGAAATTGACAATCGGACTATCCTATGGTCCTGTAGCTCCCGAAAGAGACGACATTGTGTCTATGAGTTGTATTAACCATATTTCGTTAAGTAGTTGGAGTTACCCATAAAGTGATATGGGCAAATTCCTTCCTAAAACGAACTCAAGCTAATGAGTCAAAAAGACTAACCCTTTATCCCTTCATGCAGTATACATTTCCTTGAAGCATTACTACTTAATACAATGCCTTTGATTAAAGTATTTGTCTAATTAGAATATTGAACAGGTAAGGAAGTGAGGAATAAGACGGCCATCTAGGGAAATGTGAAACTTTCTCTGGTTATGCCCATTTTCAGATAAAGTTGATCCCATTTTCATGTGGTCACTTACATGTCGAAGAGAATTGTTTTGATAATCTGCAAATAATGCTTGAATCGAATGTTGAATTTGTCAATCAGAGATAAATAAGTACGAGACAGAAGCTGTATAGGAGATTGAATAATATAAATGCTGAATTCACTCTATTTTGTTTAAGGCGATGAAGAACTGGTATATGAATTTTCCCACAATCATATGAGTAGGCCTCATGTTTCCATTAAGTTTCACATAGCATTGCTTCCAAAAAATATATTCTCATCCAGGCTGAAATGGACTTCAATGTAAACCTCATGGCATATATACCGCAGAGAGGGATAAATACGTGCGACTTTTTTACTCATCGGCACTGAATTCGTTTTAAAAATGATTCCCTTCTCTAACGATATCGGTCATATGATAGATCAAGGCTTCGTTTTTTTTCATCAAAATAGGAGTTCGTTTCAGGCATTTTTCCAACG